CCAGCTGAAACCAGTGGAATGATTCAAAGATGTTTAATGAAGATTTTCTCAGAATATCAAGTCAGATGGATTTCACAAGTGCACTCTGCCATCAGACAAATATGATATATATTAAATTCACCTTTACCCAAACACCACTTGAATGAGGCTTCATCAAAGAAAGTATGCTTCTCATCATGCTTTTTACTGGCAATAGAGCTGTGCCCAGAAGCACTCTGTGCTAAGTCTTTTTCTTGTAAATACCCACAGGCTTATTGTTCACCCTCCCTCATTCAGAACCTGGTGGGCATGCAGGAAGGGGAGCAACAGTTCCACACAGTTGTTGGTTCTGGTAGTTGGGGAGTCTTCCTTACGCTGAACTAGGGAAAAGAAACAGTTTACTTCCCCCACACATTTAGAGCTCAGCCTCAATTGCAAATGTGATGTCCTTCAATGTAATCAGTTATTCCCTTGTTCTGAGCTCTCCTAAGTGCCTGATTGACCTTCACTGTCCCTCCAGCTCTTTGTCCCTCCTGGCAACAGATAAGATAAAACCTGTCAATGTGTTGGAGAGCTCCAACAGATCTTTCCTGTGTGCATTACGTTGTGGTTGCTCCCTGACATTGTGTTGCTCACTTGTCCAAATTTGCCTCTGATTGATGGGAGCTAGGAGAGGTTGTTTTAACAGGCACGGCAGCACTGTGACATGGGGAAAGACAGGGTCAGCTCAGGATTACCAGTGTCAGAAATGAAGGATGAAGCAGTCACCCTCTGCATATTTACTGCATGTGGTGTTTCATGTCCTTTTCCCTATATCTTGCCTGCTGGTGAACAGAAGAAGGTGTAAGAGGACCTGTCAGAGTTTCCTTCCCTTTCTCCTTTGCCTTCTTCTCAGTCTCATTTCATCTGCCTTCTCTACTCTTTCCCGGTCTTGTCCTTCTCATACCTCTTCATTAGCTCTTTCCTAAGATCTTAAACCCCATCTCTTTTCACACTGATCATGCCACTACTGTGATATTTGCAAATTCTTTTTCGGTCCCCTCTGCTTCCTTGTTCCTTTTATTGTCTTTATTGTCTCTCTTGAGATAGCTCTTCAGGTCAAGGACTGCCACAGAGTTCAGACCTGTGCAATGCCTTGCCAAGTGTTGCTCCAGTTCTGCTTGGCTGCAGTAGACAATGGAAACCTCACGTGCATCCCAATGCTATAAAGCTCATGAGCTCCACTTTGCAGACTGAAGTCTCCAACTGGCGATGGACTTTGTTACCTGGCGGGGCAGTGAAGCAGGCTGTTTGTGGCGTGCCTTGTGACTGCTTGGCAGGAGCCTTTCCTTCCTGCTGCCAGATAGGAACAGGGTTAGGTGTTCATTTCCAGGATCATCTGATGGGCAGCCCTTCACAACCCAACAATCAAACCAAATTCCAAAGAGCAGTGCAGTTGCTGAACTCCTGGAAGCAGCTGTAGGAGAACATGTTGTGGGTTTGTCCACAAACTGGAGTGGCCTATGCAGTGAAGCGAGGAAGGGGACAGATCTGGTGGGGTGTGTGGAGGTGCCTGGATCCTCACAGTCAAGGAGCCTTGCTTGAGTATTCCCTCAGCCTCCTGGGGGGAGGCAAAGTGGGGAGCAGCTAGCTGGAGGCATTTGGCAGGGTGGGCAAGGGCTGGGAGACCCTGACAGCAGTGAGGGGAAGGAGTGGCTTTATGCAGCTGTTTAGCTGTTCCTCTCTGCTGTTTCCTGACTTTAAAAGATCCTTAAACCTTCAAGTGGAAACAGTGATACAGAATTGGGCAGCAGCTGCCTAATTTTCTCTGGCTCTCCTGTGCACCACCCACAGCTGGTGGGGCGAGGCTTCCCTGACCAGCAGCTGCACTGATACGAAGCCTTCTGTCTGAGTGGGCAGACTGAGGGAGTGAGCTGCTGGCTACATCACTTCTGTCCAAGTTTTTTCGTTTGGGAAATCTGGTCTCTCTGCCTGCACCTCTGGGTGAAGGGGGCCTCCTCTTCCTGTTCTGGCTGCCAAGTAACAGACCGATCCCTCAATGCTCCAGAAGTGCCCAAGACATTATAGTGACAAAGACAGGAAAGGTGCCAGCAACAAGATTGGAATACTGCAGGATGTTTTGGGGCTGCTCAGAAGCACAGGTGAAACCATGTCTTTCCATCTGGAAGCTGAGCAGCCAGGACCACTCTGGCCATCGGAAAGGTGGAACTGGAAGGGGGAGATGTGTGGCAGGACCCAAGTGTCCTGGAGTTTCACCCCCTCAGCAGGCTAACCACATCGTCCTCAGCCTGACCTCTGAGTGATGGCAGCAGCAAGACCAGGACCAGGACTGTGGAGCAGACAGAGCAGAAAAAATAGTGCTGTGCTGCTGTCCGAGTTTCTCTAACTCCCCCGGGCAGGGGAGGAGGTCGCACCGGCTGAGCTGAAGGCACGGCAGCCGACAGCCGGGGGGGGCACTCCCTAGATGCGCCGGGGCGTCCCGGGAGCGCCTCAGCAAGGGGCAGCAGGGAGCAGCAGGCAGGCAAGTAGAAGAATGAAGAGAGGGACCCTCCTCGGGGGTAAAATCCAGAGCCTTTATTAACTCCAGGTGCACCAGCCGAGCAGGGACCACGAGTCAGGGAAACCAGCAGCTTATAAAGGGGGTGGGAACACGACGCATTGACCAATGAGGTACAACTGGGGAGTGAACAAACATGTGAGAAACATGCCGGCTAGCCAGTAGGGAATGTGACAGGGAGGGACCCTTGTTCCCGATCCAATCACCCACCGAAGAAAGGAGAACTTTCTGGAATATGGGAAGGAGACAGTGGGTGATGGACAGGAACTTGGGGAGGGATTGACAGAAGGTAACCAGGGAAACAGGGGAGGAGTGGACGAATTGACACTCTCAGAGAGAGGGTCCAGGGGGGGGGGAAGGGAGATCCCAGGACCGAACCATTATAGCTTCAGGGGGTAACAGAACACACCAAATGAATCCTGCAACACAACAAAATAGCTGGTGGGGACATGACTGTTTTGGTGCCCTGAGTCATCTGCTGCCCTGAGCCTCTGGCTAAGGGCCAGCCAAGCAATACCTACATCAGGCAAAACCTGGCCCAAGCGTGACCAGCTGCTCCATCACTGCCACTGTGCAGCTGGCTCTGGGAAATGCTGGGAAGCAGGACAGTACCATCTGTTTGGCCCAGGGGCAGCACAGGCAGCCGTGCTACTTGCTGACACACTGCACAGCCTTTGGGACCAGTGCTGCTGGGCTCCTGGGGAAACGTGGAGCGTGGGCACCACCTTGCACAGGGGGTGCAATGAACAGGGCCAAGCAGTGGGCTTGCAGCAGCAAGCCTACTGTATTTTGCTGGCCTGCTGGCTTTTCTGTCTTTCTATCCAGGCTTTGGAAAACACTGGGGTTCAGTCACACTGGGAGCCATGTGAGCACTGGGCTGTGGCCGCCCTCCTGCTCCTGGACTGTGGCAGGCTGATACCTACTGTGACCTCCTCACCCCGTGCCCTTGGCACAGCTCCTGGCATCAGATATCTCAGCTTTGCATGGTTGCAACTCCTACTGACTTGGGTCAGAGTTTACCTGGAGGGCCTAGAGCAGCGGCACTGCTCGGGGATGTTGTGTGATGAGAGTGACTCACTGCTCCCGCTCCCTGCCTTTCCGAGTACAAAACAAGCAAGGCCTGGACTTGTCCCTGTTCCCGTCCCCTTATCTTGCTTTCCACACAGACCTGTGAAGGGTGGCCTTGCAAGGAGCTGGTCTGCATGCATTTGCCAGGCTTCTCTTCCATTTAGTGGACACTGAAATAAAGAAAAAAACTCTTTTTCTAGTCATTTAAGTCCATTCTCCCCTGTTAGTTGCAGAGACAGCTGTGGGAGAAGCAAGAGTTTTCACCCATGTCTCATTTTGTGGAGGGCTTGCCTGTCTCACAGCTGGGTGACTCCCTGCTCTCTGTACCTCCACTGCCCAGGGCACACAGGGCTCCAGATACCATGGTGCATCTGTCTCCCTCCTCTTAACAGCCCGTCACAGCAGAATTCACTCGCCATCGCTGAGATTTGGCTATTTCCCTCAAAGGTCTGTTCAGCATCAGATATGCACATGTGCAACATCCATTTAAATCCGTAATAAATGTGCACACACATTTTGTGTGGTGACTGGCCCCCTGACTCACACAAAAATGTATTTTAAATGGGCTTGGAGGATTTGGGCCATCATTAAATTTCAAGGAACAAGGTCCACTCCTGTATTCCTGTGCACCAAGGCCCTGGGGATGTACGTATCGTGAAAGACCAGACTCACGCCGCCCTTGCTGCATTCCCCCTTCCCAGCCACCTCCCCGGAATGAAGAAACATGAGACTCCAGCACTTTCTTGGTGGCGTAGACTTCCTGTTGCAATCATCCTCTCCCCTGCCAGCACAGCGAAATCTGCTTAGCCTTTACTTTCTCACACGTTTCAGATGTGCAGGGGTGTTATTGTAAACAATGTCATCGGCTGTGCCAGAGCTGTCTGCTCCTGCCGTGCTCCCTTCCCAGCACCCCAGGGGTTCCCGTAACAGGGCGTAAGGCAAACAAAGCAAAACAGTAATCTGCTGTTCCAATGGCTTTTTTTTGTTTTTAGAAAATGTTAATGATAGGTTATGTGATTACCCTAGGTTTGGCTCCACTTACTCTTTATTAAGCACATCTGGTATTTAGTAACAGTGTAAGTAGCAGGAGTTTTTCTGGCCCACAAATGAGATTATCCAATGTTGCCATGCAGTATGGAAACTCCTCAGGGAAGCCAGTGAACTGCGTGGAGATACAAGACTTTCTTTTCGGCTGGGCGTGCAGCCAGAATAGCTAAAAAATGTGGATTGGCACAGAGCTCTTGCCACGCAAACACTTCTGGAAATTTCTCTGTTCAGGCCTGCCAAATCCTTCCTATGTAACATGAGTTTCTGTCTTCCTCAGCAGCCTGTCTGAAGCCTGAGCTCTCCTGTACACTTTATAAAGGAAAAATAAAAAAAAGCTCCAAGGCAACCTTTCAGTCTTGTTTCCAGCATGCCACTGCCAAGCTAACAATTTCACCGAATTAGGGGGAATTTCCTAAAACATTTCTTTGAGCTTCATTGAGTGGAACATGTGGGAGACAACTGTGTTTCCTGGAGAAGAAAGGAGAGCTGTCTCACTCGTGGAGACTGCCTAATGTCTAGCAGGAGAAAAACAACCAGCCATGACAAGAAAATGTTTTTTAAAACTTGGCGTGAGAAGCAGGTTTTATTTATTTAGATTGCCTTTTCCAGTCTGGTCAATGTAGTGTATGAAGAGAGGGTTGGTGGAGGGAAGCTGGTGTTTTTGTTAGGGCCCAGGGCTTGGAGTCAGGAGGTCTGGGCTCTATTTCTGGCTCCGCTGTAGCCTTCCTGTGGGACTTGGGTGAAGCTCTTGGAGGTGAGTTGTTCCAGTCTCTGAGCTTCTCGATGCATTTAATGGGGGTATTGTTTGCCGGTTTCATATGTGTTTGTGTGAACTCAGGCTCTGCGGCCAAAATTATTAATGTTCCGTGTTTCTTAAGGAAAGAACTGGGAAGGATATGAAGCAGAAAAGCAAATGTTCGTTTGTTGCTTGACTGCGCTTGGCTGCTGCTGTTGCAAGACACTGGCCTTTGGATCTTTAAACTTGGTTGCTTTGTGTCTAGGGATCTTTGTGGGTGTTCCTGACAAATCCCTGTCAGTTTTGCCTCTCCCACTCCTAATAATGGGACACATGCATTTATACTGCAACTTTGTTGACTTAGTGATGGTACCCTTGGGACAGTTAGTCTGGGTAGTTTCTAGACTTTTTCACTGTGAAGAGAGAATTTAGTGTGAAGGCTGGCCATGAACAGAGGGATTCATCACAGCAACTTACAAGCACATTGTGCACTATTTCTACATGGCCAGTGACCAGCTCTAGCACCCGGGTTGCTCATGGCTGCCCTTCCTGTGGATCAGCTGGCAGTGCAGCAGGGAACTACCTGGGTAAAGCTCAGAAAGGGAGTGCAAAAGCACCCTAACAGGCACTGCTGGCTGCTGCCTGGTGGCTCAGCTGTCCTCTGCGATGAACTTCTGATGCAATTTGCAGCCACAGAAAGAACATCTCATCCAAAGAGCTGACGCGACTCCAAGCTGCATACCAACATAAGTGGAAGAGGGGATCTGGCTCTGCTGCTGCATGCTCTTGGCCTCAGTAACTGTCCCCACTTCCAAGAGGGACAAGGGAAGGGGCAACCAGCAGCCCTTGATCTGTGCAGCACCCACAACATTCTTTGGGAAAGTGGGGAAGGATTAGTAACAATGACAAAACAGGCATAGCTATGCAAAGGACAAATAGATAAGCTTGGGATTTTTCTGTCTGCTGACCCACCCGCTGATAAGCCAAACTAATAACTCTCCATGGGTTAGCCTGTGCACAAGCAGAGCTTCTTTTCAGCCCAGTCTTGCTTCTGTAAACATCACTCCCATGGCTGTGGCTCCTGTGGCTGTAGTGACATCCGTAGCTTGTCAATGACATTTTGCCAAGTAGCTAATGGGTAAAGATACAGAAAGTTTGCAGGGCAGTGGGGTGTGAGAAAATAAGAATTACACACAATGTAAGAAAAGGAAGGACTGCAAGAATGGGGAGTAAGAATGTGTAAGATTCAAGGTGAAAGAACTTCATTTCCTCAGGGATGCAAATATGAAAGAAAACATCAGACAGGGACAAGTGAAGTGAAGAGAAGAGCAGTGGAGACCTAAAGAGCCAGACCAAAGAAACTGAGGCTGACAATGGCCAGGAATAAATGGGAATGATCAGAGAAAAAATGAGAGATGTAGGTAAAACCATAGTGTAAAGAAAAGGCGTGCTATAATGAACAAGAGAAGAAATTTGTTTTTAGAAGAGGGAATGCAAACCAAGACAGGAGAGAATTATGTGGAGAAAACAGAAAAATTCAGAGATGGAAGGACAAATAATAGGACAGAGATGCAGGAGAAAGCAGGTGAAACAAAGAGTCTCACACTGTTCTTAGGTTAATGAAGTTTCTTTTTACTAGTTCAGCATTGCATTGCAATGTCCCAAGAGGCATTTTGTTTCTGTGGCTCTTTTGACCACTTATGCTAATTATTCTGGGTTCCATGACTAAGTAATTAGAAGAAAAGGAAAAGAGCCTAAAAGTCACCCGGATGTGTCATAAGGCTTTGTCTGAAGGACTGCTCCCTTCAGAGGGAATTGTTTCTAGAAAATAGCTGGGATGCTGACATCCCTAGTGTACATGTGGCTGGCCTCTGTGTCGCCTGGGTAAGCTGTAGGGGCTCAAAGATTTCTGAACCCTCCCCACCCACTTTGCTGTAAATTACTCTGTTCTGCTTGGGAGGGATGATGAGGAAGGGAGGATCCTAGCAGAATCCTCTTGCCAGCATGTCTCAAAGCTGGCTCTGATCCTGCAGGATTTGACCAATATTTGCTGAAAGTGGAGCAACTCAGAGTGCCGGGTAGCTTGGTCCCAGTTCCCAGTCAATGGGAAGTGAGAAAAGCAGAAGCAGATTGTAGATTGCTCTTCTGATCTAATACTCCTTTTCTTTCCGTGCTTTGCTCACATTAACTTGGTGACTTTCATTTACTTATTGAAGAGACACATAAGTGTTTTACATTCAGGAGGCATCTGGCAATCCTGCATTCACTAAGCGACCTGAAACCTGGGAGTGAACATCAAAGGAGAGCTTTTTCTCTGGAATTATATAATCTCTGTTATGGTAGTATGGTAATTAAACAACACCTTACAGTGAAGGGGCAGAACATCTTAGCTAATATAAGCAAGGCACGCTGCACTGTATGTCTGAAATCATAGTTTCATCTAAAAAATAAAAATCTGGCTAAAAAGCATTCTGTGCTGGACCAGCACAGAAACATAGCCATGTGCAGCCAAGCACTGGACAAGCACAAACTTACTATGCTGGCTCAGATATGTTTCACGCACTCTGGTAGACACTGAACCGAATCAGGTAACGTCTGTCCTCCAGTCAGCATAAAACTGGCACAAACACCACATCATGTGCTCTGACTAATTCAACAGAAACATACTGGTGTGCTTATGCCAAATACAGATCCAGCACACACAGGAGGTGCTCCTGCAGTGCCAAAATCTCATATTAATGAAGCTGGAAGCAGAGCCATGTGCATTAGCTGCATGTTTTGAATTCTTAGGAGTGGCAGCCGTTCATGGCAGGGGGCTTTTTCAGAACAATCACAAAAGGACTTTTTTTTTTCCTGGAGTGACAAAATTGCTTCCTTTGTTTCCAATAATCTCAGCATTTGAAAATACTGAATCGGTCCTTTTGTTTGCTGCGTCCATTTATTGCAGATTGTAGTTTCAGTGCAGCTCATGTTAGGATGACCAGTCCCCCCACCTTCCATCACACAATTATGCCAGTCTGTTTAAAGATTTAAAGATGCTGACCAAGCATTATTTTGACTGCCTTGCCATGGAAGCCGTTTGCCATACCAGAATTGTTGCTTAAAATCATTTAAATAATTTGAGACTGAAGGAAATAATTTGGTCAGTTGAAACTCTCCCCTTGGCTTTTCTTGATGTACATATTCCAGCGATGGGCCAGAATGGCTCTCGGTATTTTCTTGTTAAAGTTTCATGAACAAATTGGGAAAAGCTTAGAATAATTTCTTTACCTCTGAGGAAAATCACAGACTCTTAACATTATGCTTCACCATCTCTGCTAGAGATGATTTATTCCTGGGGCTCGTAAAACATTCTTGAAAGAGTAAAATTTTTGCCTTGTGACTACAGCACTTGCACCAAGTGTTGGACACTTTCAAAACAATTTCCTGAGAGGATGCGAAAGGTAGATTGGGATCCAAAAGGGCACATTTTTCTCCTTTCCTTTCATTTTCCCAAGGCGCCTTCTCACATCTGTAGAAAATGTAGTGCAGAACACTAATCTTGGTCAACTAAAAGGAACACTTTTTCTCATTTCAAAGAGGAAAGCAAGTCTGAAAAAACTGAAGTTAAACCTGGTAACTGTAATAATGCTTGGCACTTACATGCAGATTTTCATCTTCTAGCCACTTTACATTAAGTAATGTATCCTCAGGACTTCCCTATGGAGTAGGTAGCTGAGTATTATTAGCCCCCTTCTGCAAATGGGAAAACTGAGGCGGAGATGTTAAGTACCTTGCCTAAAGCCAGCGAGGGATTCTGTTGGAGAGTTGGGATCAGAGGTTAGGAATTCTTGTGCTTTCAATTCCCGTACCTACTGTGTCACTTAAGTACAGAGCCATAATTGAATATCGTAATGATCCGGGGGTGAAGTGATTCCAGCTACTCAGATCTGAGCATGGCTCCTCTGATGGTCAGAGACTCAGTAGTGCAGCAGCTGGACAGAGCACGAGTGCCTAATGGGTAGGATAAAAACGTGTCATTCTCTTTGGCCTCCTCAAACTTACCACTGGGCAACGTTCACCAGGCCAGGTCTCAGCTCAACTCTTCAGCTGGCTGTGCCATCACTTTGAGGTAGAAGGACAAATGTTCACCTTTGATGGGTGTAGTTGTCACTAAGAAATGCAACATCAAAGGCAGGTGCTGCTGTTAAGACCAAGGTTATTGTTCATTGCTTTATGTGACACTTGTTACAACAGAAAAGGCAAGTCCCTTTCTCGCTAATTCATGCTTGTGCAGGAGTGTGAAAAGAAACCCAGGTCTCTGTGCTTGGGCTAAAGCAGACTCTCCTCTACCTTTAGGAATAGAATTTTTGTGTTCTGTGGTCCTCACATCACCTGAATGGGAGCCAGACAAAAGTCTGGCTTTTCACAAGGCTGCTGGAGGGTTCACAGATTCAGACTTGCCCCTGACCAGTGTGTGCCTTAGACAGGGAACAACATATGAAAAAGGAGAGTATAACATGAAAACCCTGAGGAAAATTTCCATCAGTTGCTGCACAGCTGCTAATGTGAATAAAATAAATGCATTCCGAGGAATTCAGGAAAGAATGCTCCATTTCAGTGTTTCTCAGGCAAAGAAGTGTTTGCTTTTTCTTTACTAAATGCCTGCTTCCATTAGCAGTATTTTCTGCATGTTTTTCAACCCTGTTTTCATCCCATCAAGATGCCATTGGGCATTAAAGCCTAAGAACTGGCTTGTATCTCTCATTTGCTGCCAATGTATTGGTGCAGGATGATACATCATAAAGGGAAGCTGTGCAAAAAGCATTGTTCTTTAACGTATTCCTTCTGATCCTGCCATTAATATGGGATGGACACAAATCTATCCACAAACACACTGACTCCAGCCGTGCACACAGAGAATATATGATTCCAGGAACTGGAATCAGTTTTGCCCCTGACCCTTCATTTTGGCAGGGAATCAGAGGTTTTGGAACTTGAGACTGATCCACACCCCAAGTTTATTTTGTTTATATACAGGAAAAATGTGGAAATCCCCAGATGCTGCTGGCCTGGATAAGAATGATTCTTGCACTGAAAACACAGAACCATATTTGCTCTGTGAATGAAAAGATGACATTTTCTCACTCCTGTGAATTTTGTCTCATGATCTTACCTTGAAAACCACCTAGTTTTACTAATTGGTCACTAGAGATTATGAATATCAGCCTTGCATTAACATTTTAAAACAAAATACTAGAATGATCTTTTTGGGGCTCTCTGACTATTTCTAGGAGCACTTCAATGAAGTAGGGTGTTTAGAGTCAGAAAGATTGTGTGATAATGCCTGAGTCACATTAATTGGGTTGTCAGAGACTACTGGACCCTACCATAAGTGTGAGAGAAGCTGGGAAGGCAATGGACCTTGCAGGGCACTGGTGCTAACTGATATGTGTCTTGTATTTTAAAATATAATAATACAAACTCCACCTAGACCAGACTATTATCTTGTCTGGAGTCTTCTCACTCGGGTTTGTGTCCTCCAGAGGCGAGTGCTCCACTCAGCAGAGCTGGACCCTGAGGAGCCCTGCTGAGCTGCATGGAGATACAGAGTAAGTCCTTCAGGCATGATCTGGAGATCAATTCCCATGGTCAGCGTGCAGATAATTTGCTACAAAGGAGGTTCTCCACATTGCATTTGTTGGCACTGGGATTTTTTGCTAAACATCAATGTTTCCAACTGTGCAAGCTATTTATAAAGCACACAACACGTCTGTCAGAGCAGAGTATGCTTTTAATATAATGTAGCATGAGCATGTGGAAAAAATAATGGAGACTGTTCTTCACTCAGAACTCAAGCACAACAAACTGTATTTACATCAAAAAATTTAGAACATGTTTTTCTTAAGCATTTCATTGAATATCAAAGAAATATAAACACATATGTTAAAAAATTGTGCCAAAGTCCTATAGATTGCGTAGGAAGGACTTGGAGTTTCCTTTCACATTGGTATTGCATCATAATTCCATGAGGTGATCTTTGTGAGGAGGACTGGGTTTATAGTTCCCTCCCTGTTACATGTGTATGTGCTGCAAAGGGAGGGCAAGCCTGGAGCACTGACAAGTATAAAGTGTGTTGAAATGTATCTTTGTATGAGCTATTTGCCTCTTCCTTACTTTTTTTTTTTTTTGAAACGGAAATATGATTTCTCCTCCTGTACTGACATGTGAGCAACCTCAGCTAAATCCTTTGCAGGAGAACAGAGCTCTTTGGTGATCAAACAATTTACCTCTTCACAAATCAGAGAGAGGATAATATGATTATATTAACACTCTCAACTGGTCTCTTTTATGAGGCTGTTGTAACAAGACTATCCATTTGCTTAGAGTGTATTTTGGGAACTAAAGGCAGAGGAGCCAATGTTGGGCCAGGAAGCACTGAGCAGGATGGCCGGATGGAAGGGGGGCATGACTTCTGGTGACCAAAGGTGTAGAAATTAAAGAAGAAGTTATGAAGCCAAATGCTGTCCTCTTCTTGCTTTTGTTTTGCTACCTTCCTTACTTATTTTTTTTTTTTTAAATTTTTTTTTTAAATTTTTTTTTTTTTTTTTTTTTTTTGTAATTCCTACCTCATTCTTCTTCCCTGTTTTGCTCCTTGAGCCTTTCTTTCTGCTTGCTGGAGGGATCCAAAAAACCCTCTTTAAGACGACCGCCCCACATGTCACTCCCACAGTCAGCCCCTTCCTGAAGCTACTGCTGCTGGGTCCAGGACTCTGCTGGTGGGGAATGAAGAGCAGAGGAGGGAGGGATGACCACAAATAACACTGTGCTCTGGCAGCTCCTGGCAATAGAGAGGCAGAAATACAAGGGAATGCCTGATAGATATGCAAGGCTGCAGCTGGGTGCTGATGAGCATCTCAGGGAAGCTTTTTGCCATGTGGCTTCTTCAGTAGGTATGGCCTAACATGAATGGACAAGGATTTCTTTCATTTCTGCTGCAGTGAAAGGTAGGGTCAGTTACTCAGTCCGGTCAACACCAGTTGCTGTAGAAAGATTGCCTTGAGCATGGCCTGGGTAAAGATATGGTTGAGAGTATTGCCTTTTTAATCTCCATAGACCATGTAACAGGATTTTCCCAAAATACCCACCCAGCTCTTGGGCTGTTCTGTGAAGCTGACCCTCTTTTGAAACCCTGAATGATGTGGTTAATGTTCTTCTCACATTTGCTAGGAGTTAACCCAAGGACCAATAATATTACTGGAATATCAGCTTCTACTTTTAAGTAATGTTTTTCTAAATTTTCCCTTAAATATTACCTGATAAAGGGGGAATAGAAGGAGGCAGTGTATTGTCCTTCATAATTCCTCATCACACTAGTTAAGCACAGGATAAGGCTGGAATTCATCTACTTTGTTACACATGGATTTTATCTTAAAATTTTATCTGGGACAAGAACACCCTTAGGCACTTTCCCAGCTATGACACCAGTATCCTGTGAAATAAACTGGCGGGGGTTTATCCCTTACAGGAAATGGTGTGCTGAAGCAGGAAGTTGCTCTATCAGCTCACAGCAAACCAGTGCTCTTGAGTGGTTTAGGTGCAGTCAAGCAGTGGAAAGGTTTTTCATGGTAGATGGTATAGAGCCAGGACTGTATTAACTGGAAATTACTCAGTATTTCATCATTCTTCTTTTATGAGGAAACCAAATTGCTCCTCAGATAATTGCATGGTAATTCAGGATCTCTGAACTCCTTTCCTGCTCATTTCTTGTCTTAGGTGCTGGTGTTGGTGGCACTATGAAGGAATCTACACACTGACTGAAGGGCTGGTGCATTTTGACAGCTTGTGACGCACGGTGCATCCTTCGCTCTGACTCAGTGCTGCCTCTCCTGCAGAGGTGTGCTCTAAGGCTTCCTTAATCCTCACAGAGCCCTCTGGTACTCCCAGAACTACAAAATGTTGTCATTAAAACAGAAACATCCATTTCATTCCATGCTATGACTGATAACCCGTTTTATTTTCCGGTCCCATTTTGCTTGTTTTCCTCTGCCAGTACCTCACTTAATAAAGAATTGGAAGACTCTTCTTGTACGTGATGAGCAGCCAGCCCTTTCTCAATGTGTGGCCCTTGCCTGGACTTGCCATTATTTGAGGTGTAGATGGGTTTGTGTACAAGCCTGCGCACACACATGCATGCTTGCAAACGCACACTCTGGGTGAGCTCCAGGCTAGCCATTAGATTTCCCCTGCTATTACTCTACTGTACATATTCCTAGTAGATTAGAGCAGAATTTTTTTTATACGCTCTTCTATAAAAAGTGTGCTATATTGATTGCAGCACAGTGAGCTGCTGTGGTTGATATCCGAGCGCTAACCCAGATAGCGATTAGCATTACATCAGCCATCAGGCGAGGGAACCTGGTGAGCTGCCAGCCTATAAAAATGGAAGACATTTGCGTCACTGTTCCCTTGGTAATGCTTCTTGGAGCCGTGTCAGCTGTCCCCCGAGGTTGTTTCCTTAATATGTCAACAGACATTCCTGAATCTTTAATGCTGAATAGCTCTTTTTCCTCTTCCAGAAACACTTATGTGACAGTGTAGCTAGAGTCTCCTGCTGCCCTATGTATTAAAAAATTATATATCTATGTAGATGAGGCTTAATACTTTTTGGGGGAGGGTCACAGCAGTTACAGTCAGATCTGGGTGAAGCACAAAGCCCATCTGCAGCAGGATTGCCGTTTGGATGCATAGAGGAAGCAGCAGCCCTGTTTAAAACCACTCCTCTGCCTCCAGAGCATCCCACTGGAGGGAGCGAAAGCATCTGTGTTAGATCAGTTGTTGGAATTTGCTAACATTTGGGATAAACTATCTGACCTTGCTGTAGGAATTCCAGTTCCACACAATAACTTCAGGTTAATGCCCGAAAGCTGTGGGACTGTGTGCGCAGTGACCTCTAGCTTCCGGAAGACATTTGTAAGTGCCAATTTTGAGAAAAAGTCTGAGGTTTTATCCAATGACATTTTCACCTTTCTGCCTCTCTGTGCAGCCAAATGGTATTTTCAACCCGAAGAATTAAAATGCAAGTAAAATACACTGCACAAAATTTGAGCATGTGCCCTTTCAGCTGAAAGTAAACATCCGCTATCAAAAAGACCTTTTGTTCTTAGGTGACAGTTTAAAGTTTGCTGTAGTAATTAATCACAGACTTGTAATTTAATAGTTCGGGAACAGAGACCAAACAAGTAATTCTAAGAAATCACTTCGTGAGTAGCTTAAGTTTGGTCAAGGAACACTACAAAGTGCTCATGATAATTTATCACTGCTGTACGCATTTCACGCAACCCACTGACCGAGAAGAAAAACACTCTGCTGGTTGAAACTCAGCTCTGCCAAGGGGACAGAGAGCTCTGTCAGTCTGCAATCTTTAGCCAGTACTGAAGGACTTCCAGATTCCTTGTGAGGAATTTGACCCCAGCGCTGGAATTTGTCTCCTGCGTAGCCCCCCACGGCGAGCAGTTTCCTTAAGCAGCGCTGGGCAGGGGGCGCGGGGAGGGAGGCGCTGGCTGGCTTAGGGGCAGGCAGGGCAGGAGGGGCATTCCCGAGCAGCCCGGCCTGACAGGCTGCGCTAGCAGCGAGGAAGGGCTCAGCCCTTCAAGTGAGGAGTTTGCACAGGCCCATGCACACACACTTGTGAGGGAGCTGATGGATGCTCCCGCCTGAGCTCTGTGCCTGTTTGTCCTTACACTTTACCCCCTCCCCGGTGTCCAATTCTCGTGGCCAGCTTTACCCTTGACAGGCAGGTGATGAGTGACTACAGGGGTAGGGACAGGCAGGTGATGAGGGACTCAATTCAGTGGGAGAACATGGAGTGCCCACTACAGCAGCATCCCTAGGGAGGAGCCAACCATGCCTTCCGCTGCCTCAGAGTACCGGCAGAACTGGCTTTCCCCTTAACCCCGGGACACCTGAATCCCACATAGAGATAACCAAGCTCAGCCGCTTGGTTTGCACCCCAGCTTCCCTACAGAGCCTGGTGCTCATTGGGTTGGAGCCAGATAATGATGGGTTCTACACTTTTCCCTATGCTGCCACTCCGCTGGGAGAGCTGGAAGAGGGAGGTAGGAAAAATGTGACTCACGAGGGTAATCCCAAACTGGGACAGGGTCGTATGCTGGAGGCAGGTGGAGAGTGCTGATGTTCAGGCCTGGGGGTGTTTGGCTGTAGCTTACCAGCCTGGCAAGAGGCAGGAGCAAGGCCCCAGCTGAGCAGCTGGGCTTGAACACAGATGCCAGAAGCAGAACTGATCCCAGCTGTAGCTGCTTTTGCCTCTTGGCTGCTGCAGAGAGGTCTGTGTACAGGTCTGTGGTTGCCTTCTTGGGGGAGGTTGCCTTTGTGCTGCAGGGACAAGAGGCTGAGGTAGAAGAACCCCCCCACAGCAGTTTCAGCAAAGGGAAGTGAAAAATTTCCTTCTTTGAGACAGAGCTTGTAACTCACCCCTCCAAGGACTGCCTCCTTGCCTCCATTCTCCTGCTATGGACCCCAGATTTCTTACCAAGTGAGATGAGCCCTGGATCTGACTTCAAAGCCCTGACCCTTCCTACTGTCAGCCCTGTGGCTCCTCTGTGTCTATTGCTATCACATATTTCTATATATAACACAAGGCTCCTGTCTGCTGCAAAGGGTGTTTTCTGAGGAAAAGTTAAATACATTGCAAAACCTTTAGAAACAGAGCCTTGAAAGCACAACTGGTCTATCCCGATTGCTTGTGTCATTACTCAAAAAAGATGGTTGAATGAAGGTCAACTCTTGAACAGGTTTGAATTTTTATGGTTCTGTGAATTAACTTTCTCCTAGTCCCAGAAAGATGCAAGTTGAGGTCTTCTGTACCTCCGAGAGCTAGGCTTTGATAATCCCAGTGATATCTGAATCCCCAAAATTTCTGTCCCTCAAGAGTACTACTTACAGTCACCAAGTAGCTGCAGCTGAAGAAGGTGGGTGCCAGCTTGTCCTTGAGCTCTGCACTTTCTATCAGCTTTCCAATAGCATTTCCTCCCTGTTTCTGGGTGCAGTTCAACACTCCCTTCCTATGCACCTAAAGAAGGCAGTGGGAGCCTTGCCATTGACCTCAGTGAATGTAGAGTATCCTGACGGCACCGATAATTATCTACAAAGCCCCAAATAAGTTCAACTTTTTATGTCCTCTTCCCATGCATGATCCTGGATGAAAATCTTCAGAGGCTGTGCTGATCAGCTTTTATATCTGTCTGAAGAAAGCTGGCACAGCTTTGACATATCATGTTCCTTTGCCTCATTTAAACAGGCCAGCTTAATAGGAGTAGTTTTGATCCATGATATTCTGAAACAGAACACTGAAACTTGCTGGAGGACTAGGCAGAATCTTGCCTCTGTTTGTGCTGCAGCAATACTCCATTAAATTAGCCCTGGATGCAGTCTGGGAAGCTGATGTACATCCATACCAATTTGCTAGGCTGTCTGCAGGTATTCCCCTGAGGACTGGATTCCAGGGTGATTTACAGTTAATCATTGTTTCCCCATGACTTTGTGCTTTTTAAGCCAAATGCTCAGTATGCTGGGCAGGTGTCATATGGTGCAACTTCCTGCTGTGGTAAGCAGAGAAAGCCAGTGGCAGCCCGAGGAAATACTGAGTTAGGAAAGTGTGGCTTTGTGATGGTAAACACAGGTCCTCAGATTGCTTCCAATCTGAAGGACATTGTTGCTTTGGCTTCACTTGTTTTCCTCTGTTATGGAAAGATAGCACAACTAGCATATGTAAAGACCCAGCACTGAGCCTTTTGTTTTCAGAGTGGAGTTTGAAATGAGTCACCTACAGGTGAGTCAACTCATAAACTGCATGGAGAGGGTGACAGATGCTATGGTAGCAGAGGAGGAGCTATGCTGGGCCCACGAAGAAAGGAATCACATGTCCTTTTGTGATGACAGAGTATTTAGAAACTCAGGCCTCAGCCAAATATTCCCATTAAAAAATGACTTGTCAGCTAACTGTGTTTGTCCACCCAAAGCAGGTGCTCTGTATTCCGCTGTTTCTCCTAACACAGGAAAGAAGCTTGGTTCAACTCAGCAGTCAGCTCTGCTCAGAGCGCAGTGCAAAGGAAATTCCATAAATATCAGGGAGTTTGAGTTAAAACAGTGTGTACAGAGATTTATTTGAGATTCCAGATGTTTTGAATTGTCTTTATAAAAATAAAAGAGTCTTTTAATACTTCATCCATGTTATAAGAATCTGCTCTGTTTGTGTTTATCCAAAATTCATGTTTGTCCTGGACATTTCATAGGTCTGTGCTAATGGATATCAACAGTGCTATGACTCCATATGTCAATTGCAGAAACCCAGCTTGTCCTCCCATGCCCTGACTTAGGAAATCTCTTGCTGGAGACTTGGGCCAGGACAAGGAGCAAATGAATGTTTCCTTGTGTAGCTGCAGAATGTGGGTATAGTGAATGCTTGGGAGACCAAAGGGCAGATAGCCATGCTGAATGGAAACACTGGCTATTTCTGGCTAGTATGTGCCTCATGTGAGAAGTGTATGCTGTATTTTTGGACACCTCTGACAGCCAGTGAGTGTTCTTGGGGGCATGGATGTGAACAGGACAAGATTTCTGAACCTTGAGGACATCCAGATAGGATATCTATGAACTTGCCCTGATGGGCCGAGGAAACGTTACTGTGGGTAATGAGTGTTCTGTCAAGCAAGGTAATGTTTCTATCTGATTTCACTGAAAAACCACAGTATGTGCCAGGTATCATGTTCATAAGATGAGCTGGTTTCAATGAAATCTTTCAACCAGCTTGGCTGTTTCTTGATTTTGGGAAAAATTCAAAAGCTACTCATAGTTGATAATTTCTCTCTCTCTCTCTCTCTTTTTTTTTTTTCTTTTTTTAAATTTGTGATTCCTGCTGTTGCAGTTGCCAATGGAAATTATTATGTTCCCCAGATCCAACCCTGGACTAAGTGTCTTTAATAGGATCCCATCTTCTATGTCAATAATGGTAATTCCTTCCAGGCAAGTTACTCCAATTCTACCCTTCCATTTTGAGGCTTCCTTCAATA